GCCCCGCGGCTGCGCGAGCCTGCAAGAGGACGGCCTCCCCGGACAGCGGACAGCAGGCCGAGAAGCGCTGCTTCGTGGTCCAGGACGACGCGGCGGCCGCTGTGGGCGGCCTCGTCAGGCAGGGCACGTTCACGAAGGAGGACGTCGGCAGTGGCTCGGAACAGATCTTCATCCCGGTGGAGCACAAGGAGAACGCCTCGAGGAGGGAGGCCCTGCGCATCCGGTTCGCTGAGAGGTGAGCGGGGAAGCTCCACCTGGCATTTTCGGTATTTCGGTACATTCATTATGTACCCACACCCACGCTAGCACCGTTAGTGCACTTGTTGACCTGACCTCGCTTGACCTCTCACACTGGTCCGCAGGGAGCAGAGCAGAAGAAGCGCGCGGAAGCTGACGGAGGCCCGGGGAACTGCTGCCCCACGCAGGCCCGCCACGAAGGATGAGTCGACGGCGACCGGCCGGAGTGTACGAGCCCGCCAGGCCCCCGTCAGCGGCGTGAGCGGCCTCAGTCCCCTACAGCGACAGGGCACCTTTACCGTGGACGAGGAGGCTGGCCGAGCGGACGGCCAGAGCGGGGACCTTATGGATCCCGGGGACGACGGAGGCCAGGCGCAGCAGGCCGTCAACGAGGTCGCGTCGGACAACAGCGGCACAGTGCGGGACGGGGACGCGGTGGCCGCTGAGGTGGCCGCTCTGCGGGCGAGCGTGGCGGCGCTGCGGCGCGGGGAGCGTGTGGCCAGGGAGCGCGCCGCCCGGGACGCGGGCCGCACCCGCGCCGCGCTGCAGGACGTCCACGGCCGCCTGGCCGCCACGCGCGCGGCGCTGCAGGCCGAGAAGGAGGCGCTGCTCCACAAGCTCACCGACCGGGAGGCGCTCTGGCGCCAGGAGAGGGACCGAGCACAGGCCCAGGTGAGGTGTGCGGTGCGATGTCGGATCGACATCGGTACGATGATGCACCAAACCGATTATTGATCGAACTGAGGTTTCCGCTGCTGCCGCAGGTGCGTGCCCTGGAGACAGAGGCTCGCGCGCTCAGGGCCCAGCTGAGCTCGAAGCAGGCGGACGCGGTGCGGAAGGTGACGGCGGCCGAGGCGGAGCTGAGGAGGGCGGCCCACGATCAGGAGGCGGCGCTGCGCGCCCAGCTGGCGGACATGGCCCGGCAGCGGGACAGCCTGCAGGCGCAGTTGCGCGACAGGACACTGCCAGGTAGGCACCCCGCGTGCACGTCGCGTTTAAACTGCACAGGGATGTAACAATAACGAGTAAGGATCTATTGCTTTTGGCAGAGCGTCCCGCGAGTCCTGCAAGTCCCGCGGCGCGGCCGCAGGAGGAGTGGCAGCGCGTGGCGCTGGCGCAGCGCAGGGAGCTGCAGCAGGGCCGCAAGAGGCAGGCGCAGCTGGAGGCGCAGCTCCGGGAGGCGCGCCGGCCGCAGGATGCGCTCCGGGAGGCGGACCTGAAGGGGGACCTGGCGCGCGCGCTGCACGCCAAGGACGAGGAGCGTCGCCGCGACGCCGCCGAGGCCGCCAGGAAGCACGAGGCCCTGGAGGCGCAGCTCCGGGACGCGCTCCGGGAGCTCCGGCAGCAGCGCGAGGCGGCGTCACGTCGGCCCGCCGCCAGGAGCGGCGCGGGCAGGGCGCGGGCGCTCGCCCTAGAATCTCAAGTGGACGGGGAGACCAGGACTGGCCCGGACGGCTCCGGGGAGGCGCGGGGGGCGCCCGGATCCGAGCCTCTCCGGACGACGCCGGCGACACCGCCGAACGCCCGCTGCCGCCCTCACCAGCGAGAACAGCGGGGTGGAGCGGCGGTGGGGCGTAAGCGACGGAGGTGGGCGGAAGACGAAGAAGAGGACGATAACAAACGGACGCTCAACGAAGCAACCCATAAGGACAACGACGACGACGAAAACGAAAATCAACGACGCAGTCTGCTCCGCGAGGTGGAGCGTCTGCGAGAACACAACACAGCTCTGCGGGTGAGTTCAAACACCCACTCGACAGCGCCCTCTGCCCCCGCCGCGCCCGGAGGGCGTGCAGCCCAGCGAGCAC